GGCTGAGGCGGCTGCTGGGCATGGGGGGTGTATACGGTCTCAACAGAACCTACAGTGGCGTGAAAGTTTGCGGCACTGCCAGCTTTGTCAGAAGAAAATTGTTTGTGGCATGAAAAGGACATAACAGCAGTAGCAAGCTGCGAGCTCCTTTCTCCTCATGGGTCAGCTGTTTGGAAGCCTGCGCTCGCAGCAATGCCTCCTGGGGTACTGAGGCTTTTCAACCTCCTCGTAGACTTCGACATTTTCCCTGGTACCACCAGGCCACGTTGTAGAAGTCAGCAATAAAAGCCATCTGCAGACCTCTTTGCAGCCCCCAAAGCGCCCGATGCCCACACCTCTTTCTAAGAAGTCTCACCTGTGACAAGCGCCAGTCTCCCAGTCTGTTTCCAGCTCTCCCAGTGCTGTGTTGGCTTCAGCAGAGACCTGGGGCCAGGTTCTCACTGAGGCTGAGACTACATCTGTGGTGAAGAAAAGTCTACAGCCAATGGTGAGGGCCAGGGCTGAGCAGGATCATGAATGGTCCTTTCCCGTGCCCGGAACTGAAGGCTTAGGACACCTGGTCAGCCTGTCCCTTTCCAGTCAGTCTTATGCTGGGCAGGAGGCTAGAGCAAAGCAGATGTCACATTCTCCTTTAGCGATAACCTCTCTTGGGTACATTAGAAAATATCCTCCAAGAAACTCTCACTAATAAATTAAAAAACAAAACTTAAATTCTTTATGATACATGGCATGAAAGCTAGTGCCACATTCCCTTCAAATATATTCAGGATTTGGAAGTACACGTGTTTTGTGTACCATTTTTTCTCCCAGAGTATGTCACTCCCCCTTCTCTGTAGGCCCATAACCATGTAACTTAACCTGTTCTTCACCAACAGAATTCAAAGCCATTGCAGGTCAACTCAAACATGGACTTTCCAACAGAAATACCAACTGCAACCTCTCCTCCAAACAAGACGGGGTTGACTGAAAAAGCTAGATTTGCTACATGATGCTCATCACAACCAATCAGATACCTCAACAGCTTTACAAACCTCTACCCTGCAAGGGAGCACAGGTTTTGGTTTACTGTAGACTGTTTGTATGGAGGAAGCCAGCAGCATTTCCCTGGTGCCACTTCCACTGTCTGAAAAGGGACCTGGACATGTGCTCCCTTTCCCCCTTGTGGCCAGATTCCCATGGGAAGGAAACGGAAAACGAGCCAAAAAGGATCCGTGTTTCTGTTGTTGGCAATCACAGGACCAGGTCTGCAGAATACACGGCAGGCTGCTCTTATCCCTCATCTGGACAACCTAAAAATGGTTATTGTAGCACATAAGGGCATTTAGAAGGAGCTTCCCTTTTTCTTAAATCATATTGAAACTAAATTTTTACATGACTTCAGAAGAGTTGTAACTGTGTAGTCACTGGGGCTGGGTGGCACCTGGTCATCTGCTCAGAAAGCAGGTTATAGGCTCAGTGTTGTAGAAGTCACAGAGAAAGAAACTTCCACATTATACAAATCAAAAACTAGTCTTCATGCAACACCATATAAAAACAAACAGAATCTGCCATCACATGCTTCAGCAGTGGGACTGGGCACTCAGCTCAGGCTTTGCAAAATGATGGTCCATTGGTGACCTCCAGCAAAATACATTTTTGTCACATGCCTTGTTTTTCTCAACTTTTGAGTATAATATGATCCTCTGTAAAGCATCTTTTTATAAAGATTGCTTGCACTGTAAGGTAGTTTAGCAACTACAAATATCACACTTGTCATTGCGATGGCTGATTCAGGTGAAGCACAGGAGGGCTTTACCCAGGGTTTTGCCTCCTGGTTTCATTTCACATTGCTCTGAAGATGGCAAGTCCTGCCTCTCCAATGTTCCCATAGGAGCTTCCTCCTCAACAGCTGGAGCCCTCCATTAGGTTACCTGCCCCACAAAAGCAAGCCCTCTGTCCATCAACACTGATGTTCTCAGCACCCAGAGGTTACCCAGACAATACCTCTAGTCACCAGCATGCAGCAGCAGTGTAAAAGAGGGAAGGAAAAAGAATTAATTATTTGAAAAAGGGTGGGAGTTGCAAAGAGTGGGATACATACCAAGTTTAGCTTCTTCTCCTCAGTGACTTTACATAGAGCTTTTCCTTTTAGGTGAATCGAATCACGCCCTAGGTTGTTTAGGCATCTGCAGCAGATGAAGTATGTACAAGACAAATGCTATTGTAGTAAAATCATGTGGTCTTGCAGCCTATGTAGAGCTTGCACTGAAATGATTTCTACATGAATCTCTGGATATCATCGTGCTTCATTTATAAGAAAATAGCCAGCATATCAGTAGGAATAAATCAGTGTCTCCACTAAAGTCCAAAATACACTCTTGCAACAAGCCATCACGCTTAAGGTTGCAATGTTTTCCCCATTACCAGGGAATAGCCTCATCTTCTAAGCTCAATTACTCACTGCCATCTCCTGCCAGAGACCTGATCCTACCAGTCTGCTGGAGCTTATCCGGCTGACTACACCTGTCGTGATAAGAAGCACTCCAGGCTCCAACTTCAGTAGAGGAGCACTAGTCTCTTCCACCAACTCCACTGGATCTGGAAAGCGATGTTTCCATGCACTGTCTAGCGCCAACCCTTTAATGCTGTGGCTTCAGTCAGCCCATGCTGAGTGCTGGTGAGCTAGACAGAGAGCAATCCCCTCGTGAACACCAAATGTCAGCATCACCCATTCCCAGTAAAGGAATGTGCCTGACACTGCAGTGCCAACAGAAAGTTCAGTGATTCTGCCCCGAGACCACTGTCTATCATAATAAATACCATCTCCCTCCCTTGCTCTGCTCTTCTTTCCAAATTAAATAGGAAGAGAATTATCTCACACACCCCACCCCCCAAAACCCCACTTTGAAGCCTTGTTCAAATAGAAACATGGGTTGCCTGGGCTGGTTCAAACACGAAATCTCATTAACAGAACAGAGCTGAAATAAACAGAGAAGAAGTTGTTTATTTTCTAAATAAGTCTAAATTTATTCATTACCCTAGTAAAAAAAGTTTGGATTACAAGTGTCCGAACAGTATAAAAGTACAAAACAGGTTCCATAGATTTCTAATACATTAATACAAAGTGCATGACTACATACAGTTCATTTTGCATTACTACCGGGAATGGAAGAGGTGGGAGGGAGTAGGGGAAGCAGTTGGCGGTTGAAATCTAGCAATAAATAAATAAATACAGAAGAGATGATCCGTATCAAAGCACATCCTACCACCAATACTGCAGCCTTAGGTGTACAGAATTACTGATGCTGAAAACAAATTCAAATGAAAGCAGGCGTCTGCAAAAACAGCTAGGACTTGCTCAAGCCCTTATCAGACCTGACCAAGCTAGTTAAGCTGTTATACAAGCAAGTATCCATTATACCTGTGGTTGGACTCTGTGATCTTAAAGGTCTTTTCCAACCTAAATGATTCTATTTGGTTGCAGATGAAAGCAAGGTAGGCAGCTTTGTCCGCCCTTCAGAATCTTAGAGAATTTAGGAAGAGCAAAATAAGACCAATGAAAGCTCTAAGCTGTAAGGCTGTGATAAATCAAAGCCCTGTTTCCCCTGATGTTCCTTCTCTCCAGAGGTTGGCTTACCCAACGGAAGGAGAGGAAAAAAAAAAAAAAAAAAAAGAAAAAGCTTTGAGGGTAGAGGCTCCTCTTAAAACCTGCATATGTTTCCCTACCTGTATTTTCATTTACTAAGCATTCCCATTTCAGGAGTGAAATTACATGGAAATCCAGTCCTAAACCCTACCCACCATAGTATTATGCCAATGACTCTCACAAAAGGAAAGCTTGTAGCAATCCACTGTAGAATATCCCAAAAGAGTAATAGTAAGAATAATCCCCCCTCCCCCCAAAAACAGAAAGAAAAAAAAGAAGAATTCCCCATTTACACAAGTTAAACCTTCATAAAAGGAAAAAGAAGCAACTGGGAGCCAAAACTGCAGCACACTTCCAGGAAGCTGCTTCCACCCTACAGGCAAAGTGGAGTTTGAAGGAGTGTCACAATGGTTTGCACACGAGTTTGTCTGGGAATCCCTGTAAGGAATACTATCTTTTGATCACGTATGCAAACAGAGCTGCCTCGATTCAGTACAGCACCATTCTTAACAGAACTTTTCACACTCAGTATTCACAAAAGCATTGATCTGGTGTTTGTTTAAACAAACAAACAAAAAAAACCAAAACCCCAACACAGAGAAGCACTGCAGAGGAAGGGTTACAAAACAGCAATTGTGAACCCAGACCCCAGGCTGCAATCAGATTACGTGCCTGGACCAGAGCCTGATTTGCTTAGCGAGGGGTTTGGTCCTGTGTCAGGTCCAAAACCAGCAGGAAGTCTGGTCTGTGGTCACATTTCAGCTGCACTGGGCCAACAGATAGCAGTTACTCAGTTTTGGCCATCATCTACACCTAACTTGGGCATCAAGATGTTTTCTTGGTCCACCTCTAATCACCAGTCGGTTACTACATGAAGCCCAGGGTGTCTGCTGCTGGGTTAAAAAAATAGTAGCCTCCTGTTTCACAATGTTCAATTCTTAGGTAAATCTTTCTCCTTAGCTAAGGAGGAGAGCTCTCCCACCCCTTCTGAAGAGCACTTTATGTTGGGGGCCTTCTTGGATAACTACAACTTGTAGTAGAGATGTCTGAAGTTTACCAGTCTGTGTCACATAGGAAGGATGAAATATTTGTTTGTGTTACATCAGTAGTATAGGGTGAGATCTCCACACCTTTAAAAAAAAATATATATTTATATAACTAGAGAGGTGACTTACAACATTTCTATGTATTAGTTCATCTTATTGACTAAGAATGAAGTATTTTCTTGGGGATTTAAGGGAGGTTACCAACCAACTTAAAAAAAAAAAAAAGCCTTACAACCACTGCTTCTTTCGATACAGAAACATGAACTACATATACCTTAATATACAAAACCCCATCCTCATATTCACTTGTGAAGCGAGGATGGGGAAGGGGGGAAGATTAGACAACCTTGCAGCAGCATTCAGCTTTGCTAAGTGTTCCATAGCATCTTAAATATTATGTACAGTCTTTCTGAAAGGATACAAACTGGCTTCAGAGTTTGTGGAATTGTAGCAGTAAAACCCAAAAGAGTTCTAGGGAATAGTCTTTTGGCAGCATAGCAGGTGTCCAAAGTGAACGGTCACTTTTCTAGTATTTTTCCAGAGAATAAGAGTATCTGTATAACCTTCTGCAGCTATCCAGGGAAGTCACCACTCCTCTTGGGTGGAGATTGCTGGAGATTGTGGTCCTTCTTGTTCTGGCTTTTCAGTGGCAGACTTTTTATTGCTACAGCAAGGTTTGAAGAGATGAGTGTCTATGAGGACTTCCCCAAAACGCCCTTTGTAAATAATTCCACAACAGACCTTTTGCCTGGAGGAAATGGCAGGGAGAGAAACAGATAGTTTGTGTGTTTAGAATAGACAGAATTTACAGAAATGCAAACAATCAGTTTGACCCAAGACACTGCTTTTTGGAGCCTCCAGCTCAGAGGACAGGAGGGAAAAGACTGCTCAGAAAGAGGAAACAAGTCAATCCACAACACTACTTTGGGGTTGAAAAAAGATAAAAAGAAGAAAAAAGAAAACAAAAAAACAACCCCATGTCTATGCAAAACTAGTCTCCTATTTTGCCTCCCAGAGAAGTTTCAGATATGCAACTATCTGGCCTGAACTAACCTTGACTAGGATGCACTTGCAAACACTATTTGAGAGGAGGCAGCAAAGTCGCAATAATTTCAACAGAGCAATTAGATAAACAAGGGAATACTGTGTCACAACAGACAATAAAAGATAACAAGCTCATCAGCTCCCAGAAAATTTTGTGGTTTTCCTCCTACTCCAGATTTTTTTTTTTTTTAATGACTACCATCACAGGTCACCATCACAGGTCAACCAAATCAAATGCTATGTTTTGCTGGCAAGCCGAGTGCAGCGTTGTACTTGGTAACATATCACGTCTACAGAGCACAGTTTTAAGACAAGAGAACGACACTCAGATATATTATCTGTTACTTCCAAAAACGTAAAAATATTTTCCAGCAACTGTATTAGTATTTAGAGGAAGGAGATGGGGGAAAACATGGCATTTCTTTCCAAAGACAGACAGATGTTGTATAATACTCTGTGACTTAAAACAAATTAAGTTCAGCAGCAGCAAATTCCTGAAGAAGCAGAATCAAGCACTGTATGCTAAGTGAACTGTTATCTGCACAGAGTGTGCGTTCTGTTGCTTTTTACCTTTTCCAGTACGTGAGATCTAAAAAGGAGAAAACTGGTGTTCTGCTTGACCCAGCACTCATCTCTGTGTCAGAGCCATCATCAGACTGGTTACTGTAACAGGGCGACTGAGCTGGGGAAGCACTCGAAGTGGTGCTGTGGGCATCAGAATCTGCAGGGGAAAGAATAAATGTGAGAATCGGGACATGCATCCGACAACTTACCCTCTTCCTGACTTGTAAAAAGGTCACATGTGGATTGGGAAGAGAGACACAGACTTTTTTTAATTCACAAGAAAAACCTAACAACGACAACGCATTTTTCACTTGCCCCTGCTGACTTCAATAGAGACTATCTGTCAGCATTTGGGAAACAGACCTTGGAACTGGAGAGGGTCCTTGTACACAAGGGACTGGAAAGAGGTTCAGGATCAGGCTTCAGTTCCTGGCTTTCAAACATAGGCCATGCTTTGGACAAGATCCTAGCCCCAACTCTGGAATCACTGGAAGATCCTCGAAGACGATGCGGATCTGTGCCTCAGACCTAGTACTTTCTATCTCACTGTAAATCTCCTTTCTTATGCAACCAATTAAAGTCTTGCAAAGCAATTCTCATTAGTGCAGTGGGTTAGGCATTACTGAGCTTTTGCTGGATTGAGACTATGAACTATGGACTCAATGCAGACGCACACCTTAACAGAGGCTTTACTAGCCTACCTGTTAGTTACCATCTCTAGCACCTCAGTAACACAATTAGATTAACTATAGCCTGTTGAATGAGGAGATACAAGCTCTTTGGGTCAGTGCCTTTAATGATTCTTTGGTGAGCTTTTCCTTCAGGACAGGTAGGATAATTCAAAGAGAGAGAAGACCAAGTCAGCAACAGTTAAAAAGCTGGAAGGTTTGCTTTAGAGGAAAAGCTAAAGTACTGACATATATTTTGAGCATAACTGGCAGATGGCTGTGTTGAAAAACTATGATCCAAATCTCTTTGAAGAGTTTAAGTGCTAGTGGAAACAAATCACTTGAGACCAGCAGAGGAAGGAGTAAGGAAACTATACAGAGGAAACATGGTAGGAATTGGGGGGGCAGGGGGGAAAATCTAGGCTGAACAGAAAGCCTGTGTTGAAAACACGTATGGAAGAAAAAGACTGACAGCGATACCAACAGAACAACGTTGCTTGGGAAAAGAGAGCTGAAAATGGCCACAGCGCATTACGGAGCGCAGGGGGAAACCTCTTCCAACTTCAGCGAGGGTCTCGCCCAAGAAGTTCTTTCTAGAGACATGTCATCTAAGCATGGGACACAAGCTGGCTACACTTTCAAGCCAGGCTCCCCACTCCCCCACCTCTGTCTCGCAGCCCACCCTGCACACAAGCTCTTCCTCCTCACTCAACCCCCTTCCCAAGACCTCGGAGGATGAGAAGTTGTGAAAACAGGGAGCGCCCAAATGTGTGAGCATGCAATTGAATCTAGATGGTGATTCAGCCTGGCCAGTTAACAGTAAGCTATGTTAGCAGAGGCCAAAGTTTATTGCCCAAATCTCTTTGGATCCACTTACTGTGCCGCTTGAATTCCTTTTGCAGTTTGCTGATTTGATTGCTCTTTATTCTGCTCCCAGACAGAGTTTTCATTTTCTTTGGTTTCAATGTTGTTTTAAGACTGGGTCCAGCCCTGGCATCTACCACCTAGAACACAGAAAATGCATGCATAATACTTCTGCATCATGCCCAGATACTGCCCTAGTCCAGGTATCTGTACTGACTTAGCTGAAGGTGTTCAAGGCCAACTGTGTTAAACCAAGGCAGTTCTGTGCACCAACACTCTTACATTTCATTTAAATCTAGTTTGTGAGAGGCTGAGTGTGTAGGAAAATGCAAACTTGTTTAAAAAGCACATTCAGTTCAACTTTTGCTTTCTTCCTATTTTTGACAAATTCAGTTTAGTAGACAACAGTTAAACGTTTAAGACAATACAGGTTCAGTTAAGAGTGTCTGCCAAGCATTTGCCCTGGAGTTTTTCTTAAAAATCATCAGTTTAACTTCTGAATAAAGCTAGTAGTAGTAATAACCATAGTTCTGGCTCCCACTACCATCAAGGCTTCCTGAATAAAGATTATAACACACACAAAGAATCCTGATCATCTTCCCTGCCCTAGGCCCAAGCTGAATTAGATGTATCAAAACAGAATATATGAGTAGGAATAGCTGCGAGATATTAGTCATTGTAATTATCTGACTAAACGACATTGATTTATGTGTTGCTTGAGCGAGTCACCTTGCTTGTTCAAACTATTTAAAAAAAAAAAAAAGAAGAGACACCAATTTTGGATAAAGGCCAAATTTGAAATGTTTTGAGTGTCATAAGAGACTTTTGGACAAAGTTATGAGCTTGTGAAAACAAGGAATTACAAGGTAAGTTAGTCTGTGACTCCATCCCAGGCTCGTATAACCACCATTTGCACGTACGCCAAACGAAGAGAGGCAAGAGCCATGTAACAGAAAATACTCCAGGAAGGATTGAGAGATGCTGAGGGTGGGAAGGGAAAGTGTGGGGGAAATAGCAAACCCCAAATCCTTGCCAGCACCTCCCCTCTCTAGCAGGATGGGCTAAGGCAGAGATGAGTTAGCTTTGGGGTGGAGGAGAAATAAATGACTAACATGATTCCAGTTTTTTTTGGATCCTGCTGGCAATTTTTTCCATCTTTTCACCAAAAGGACACAGGCATTGCAAATATCTCCTGAGCGGGCCTCATGAAGCCTGGTAAAAACAAAAGCAAAAATCACTTGACAACAGTTAATAAAAGCACCCCCCACTCGATAACAGCAAGAAACATAAAAATTGACGGAAAAGAAGGGTTCTCAAGTTCTGTTTGTCAGGCATTTATAATTCATCTCGCATGCTCAAACATTGACATTTAAAGACCAGGTCTCACTTTCAGAAAGCACTCTTCCACATAGAAAAAGGTGGTGTAATCTGCCTCCAGAGGGGCACTGAGAACAACAGTTCCATCATCTTCAGTTGGTTGTATTGTGTTTTTAAAAAAAAAAAAAAAAACAAACCACAAACAACAAAACTCCGAACAAACAACCCAAACACAACACACAGTTCCAGTGAGTTGGTTGGTTTGATTGGAGAATGTATTCATATTCCTTGAATGTACATTTGGGAACAGACTTCAGAGATCCCACAAAAGCTTATTCAGCACGTAACTTTCTCACAGAGCTTCAGGGATGAGTAACAACCACCACCTAACACACTCCTGCATAAGCACAGGATAAAGTTTCAGAAACAGCATTCACTGGAACGACAGCAATACTTGCTCCCTTTAATGAGCTTTCTTCAGAAATCATCTCTACTGCTAATCCACGCTAAAAGAAATATAAAGGGGATACACTGTAGAATTTTTCAGCTATGTAAAGGGGAAGACTTTGAAGCATTTATAGATGAACAGAGCAGGCTCAGCTAAGCCATTATTTGCTCAGTGTTAAGACTGCATTTTTACCTTGGCAAACATATTTCAGATAGCACAAGACCAAAGGCCCTGGCATACTGCAAGATTCTTTACTGTAGTTAACAAAACAAAACAAAAGATTGCAACGGGCCTTCACACAGTCTTTCCACTGCCAAGGACAGTAGCCAAGAAATATGATGAGGAAAAGTGTCAGCACCAGATTTATGTACAAAAATCCATGGTAAATACAAAGCACTCTAAAGGTTTGGTTTTGTCCTTTTGACACCTGAAAGGAGTGTTTCTAGAAAAAGGGGAGGAGAGGGAAACATTTCTAAAGATTGCAAAGATTTACACATATGAAGTTAAGCACTTGAGACAAGACCAGCAATACATATAGTTTTTAATATGATGCATGAAATTCCCACTCAGGCCTAAGGTTTTGATGAGAGGTAATCCAACAAGACTGGAAAGAAAAAGCAGAAAATATCTATTGACAACAGACTTCTTTCCAGGGGAAATAATTTCATGGAAAACTACAGCATAAACTGGAGAGATTCTTATTGCCTCTGAAAATAAATTCAAAATAAACAAAACAAAAAATAGTTACAAGCTATCACAGAAGAATTTCCTTTGCTGACAATTCATGGACACAAATTTAGATAGAATTTCAAACTTCTTGGGAAGTATTTCAAAAAAGTTACAAGATCCCAGCAGCTGGTACAAGAAATCATGTGTATTTATAGTTTTGCTTACCAATGCTTTCAAGTAATATTATGTGCAACATTACCTAACTGGAAAGCTAATTACTAGATGCTCACTTTCCATCAGAATGGGTCTCCCGTAGGAAGTTTCAATAACATCTTGATATGCCCTATTTGAAGAAAGGCACCAGTACCTGAAAGAAGGTACCGTGCATAAAACCCGCAGGAACTGCTAAATATTTACCCATCAAGTTTTGTTTAACGTTCTTGAATCTTCAGAGCCACAGAAAACCTCCACCCACCTGTGCTGTTTACCATCCCGCATGGGAAGTTACACCTCTAAGGAACACGTGCGAAACGCACGGTCTGAGAGGGCTCCAAGCCCCAGCGCGTGCCGCGAGGTGGGAGAGGCACAAGCCTGACCCTTCGCTGCTATGAGCTACAGCAGCTTGCCACTGGCGGCAACAGCAGACAGACAACCAAACGGTCCCGTACGCAGCGGCAGAGGATCCAGCCCCTCCTGGCCCAGCCAGGAAAGTTGTGAGGAAGCTGAAGCCAGCCTTCTACCCACCTCCGCTAACCTTATCTTTCAGTCTCTCAGAGCAAGAGGGACAGCACGTCAGGTTCGTGGCCCCGAGAGCAACACCATGACTGACCACAATGTTGACTAAAGAAAGAATCTTACCCAAAACAATTCTGGAAATCCTTTTCATAACGTTTGCTGTCAGTGAAACGAGAACTGGAAGACTTAGCTCTGCAAATACAGCAGCCCTCTATACTCCGATACATCTTCGGTTTGTGAAAGCCAAACATCTTTTCCTCCCAGCTGTAGCCTGTGAAAACAAACAGGAACTGGTGTTACTTATCACTGTTTGATACTGAAAGGAAAACCTGGGCAATTCACCAGGCAAATCAAAAGTAAATTACAATTCAGGATGGGAAACTGATAGATTAGGCCATAGCTCTATCCTGCATTGCCCCAGAGGAGCAGAAGCACCTAGAATGCACTTTCTTATTTAAAAAAAAAAAAATTAACAACACCTGGAATATTAAGCAATACCCATCAGGACACATGACAAGCTCATTTACTGCACAATTCTACTCTAAGGGCACATCTACAACAGCACAACCCAGAGGCGTGAGTGCAGCTGACTTGGCTAATGAAAGCCAAGCTAATGAATGCCACACAGCATGTGGCAAAACAGGCTGCAGGACAGGCTGTGTGAGCCTGCCCCAGCCCCTGGATAAGTAGTTGGCAGCTGAACCCTGGGTCACTGGAACTACCTCATCGTCACTGGTGTTTCTTGGAAACATCCCTGCCAAACTTTGTTGAAAGTGAGTAGGAGTCATTTTAAATGAGCTGCAGTCATACCTCTAGGCTGTAGGGCAGACATACCTGAAAAGCCACTCTAAAAACAGCCGGGTGGAGTCCCTCAATAGGGCCATGTCTGCACTGCGGGACCCGGGAGCACTTCTTGGCTCTCAGGCCTGGCTGAGCATCCCAGCCACGTCCCAGCTCCGTGTCAGCACAGGCTCAGTGCTCGCCCTCCCCGCCCTGCTTCCCTGGGAAGGAAACCCAGCTAGAAAAGGGCCGGGGAGCAGGACCCGGGGGTGCATTTCAGCCTGCACCTACCACACATCCCAGCCACCGCCAACGATGCCAGAGCAAAAGGTAGCCCATTTACAGGGAAGTTGTTTCTTCTTAACCACCAGCTCTGCAAGCTCAGCACGCACTCCAAAAGGCAAAAGCCACGCTGCTCTTGCAGGTCTGCCTATCCTTCGCAGTATGGCTGGGCTGGGATTTAGCTCTCGGAGCCGGTAACGTACCGTGGAGGCCGTTTCCAGGCAGAAACCTTTAAAGTTAGTTGCAAGTCGATTTACTGCAGTCACCATGACAAACACCCCTTCAACACATGATGTCCCCACCACCAAATCAAGTTGTGTCCTGGCACCGGTCATTCCCCAGTGCAGACTGGTGTTAGGCACAGTCTGACACGGCATGAGAAGCTGTCAGAGCAAAACAGAGCTCTCACGGCGCTTCAAAAAACCAAACCAACAACTGAGCAAAGCCGGTGCTTTCCTGGCACTGGGCATGGACACACAGCAAGTCCTCACAGGTCGCACAGCATCGGTCTTGTAACACAGGTGGGGACCGTTCCAAGAGGTTCTCTTTTAAACAGACCATGGTGCAAGGTTTGCCTCAACCCTCTGCTGCAGGGAGCGAGCAGCCACCTCTGCTGCTTCGTATCACACGCTGAGGGAAGGGAAAGGCCACTGGCTGCAGAAAGCTCCACGAGAGCAGGTTTCCCACTGCTGAGAACTTCTGCCTTTAAAAAAATTAAAATTAGACAGAGCCATGCCAATAACACAAGACTTCCCCCTCTTCCCTTAACGAAAGGCCAAGTCGTTATATTCTTGTAGAAGCTAACAGAAAACTACCTCTCCTCCCCACAAACTCTACTGAAAGACCCAGTAGCTCAGGCAGGACTTTTGGGAGAGCAACATCTCCATCACTTTGTGGGCAAGTCTGGTGAGAGGGAATTCTCTCAGTCACCTTCCTCTCAGTCCCGAGGGACTGCCAAGTCCCAGCAACCCAACTTGGCTTACTGGTGAATGTGTGTGGCACAGGGATCTGTCCCCAGACCTTCCACCTGCAGGAAGGTAAGGGACATAATTCTAATATCCTCCAGAGGACCGAGAAAATTAACCTGAAACCTTCAGTCTATAGCACCTAGACTTGCTTTATCATTACAGCAATAAAATAATTTAAAAAGAATCTCTGGACGAGGTCGAAAGTATGCTTTCACAAAACAACCATACCAAGCATCGTGCTTACCTTGCTGATGGACAGAGATTACGTGTGAGGGGAAAAAGATCCTGTGCATTTTTGCAGGACCACAACAAACGCTAGTGAACCAACCACCCAGGCCTAGTCACAGTCCTCCACACAGAGGTAAAAATAAAACCTCCCCACCCCAGAGGGGAAGATCACAAGGCAGCACTGCAAAAATAAACGCACAAGGTTCCCAGGCTCCCAGAGCAACAGAAAAGTGAAAGTTTTATCTAACATTGTTAGTTAATGCCCATATCTAGCTGAAAGTGTACATGTTTACATTTCAGTCTAGCATATTATAATACAAGACCACTTGGTGCCCACTTGGGTTGTGTCTCCTTGCAATAACTACTGCACAAACATGTAGAAAGACAAGTAAACTCTCCAAAAAGCTCGTCTTGACCAAACCCTTGCAGAGCCTGTTGACAGCAAGGGACTTGTTAAGAGAGAGATGGAGGGGATAGGTCTTTCCTTCCCTCCTGTCCCAACTCACGCTGTTTGCCACAGGCTTGAAGTGCTGTATTCCTTTCTTCTTCACACACATCTACAGCACAAGCAGCTCATCACAAGGAGCTGGGTTCTCACAAGGATGATTTGTGCAAATATCCAGCAAAATCACCCTGAACGTTGCCAGGCTGCTTAGGAGGCTCATTGCTGCCTGTGTTAGCACAGCATTGGCCTGAAGGCCAGGAGCAGCTGTAGTAAGTCAAAGTAAGTATCCAACTAGTGATCTGCTGAATGGGTTTGCTGAGGGATGCCTAGACTCAGAACTACTCTCTGCTTCTGCTTTAGGTGTGTTTTCAGGTACACTTAGCAAATGAACTTGAACGCACAGTCAAACTGGGTTAGTATCCCTGGACTGTCAAGACAAACAACAGAGTGTTCTAGGCAAACACTCACAGTATGTATTTTGTTTCTTAGCATCCGATGTGCTCCTTCAGGAGACAGTCTCTTGAGGATGCTGTGTTTAACAAGCCTCTGGAGATCCAACACCATGCTCACACCTGGGAATTTCCAACTACAAACAGCAATTTTAGATTTTCGTTGACTACCCCAGCGTTAAGTCCGTGGTCTGATGTTTTTCTTTAGAAAGTCAAAGACTAACTGCAGACACAAAACTTAGGCAGCAAGAACATCTTGGTTGTTACAGAGCAAGACACAGAACTGATCTCAACAATCTGATTTACTTTTTAACCTGGTTTCTCCCAAAAATCCAGATGCTGATGAGATGATCTCTGTCACCCGCTGCTATTTATAATACAGTAGAACAAGATGCGTATTTTACAATTTATGTTCTGGCAAAGGCTGGCATCAGACACACATATTCTCAAAGTACCTTGTTTTGCATCGTTGCTGCCATTCTCACAGGAGCAGCCTTTCAACACCATCTTTCAATAGAAGGGAAGCTAGTGCCATCTGTTTCCCACTTGATGAATGGTCAGCAACAGTATTACCATATATCACGCCTGAATGGGGAAGAGCTAGTAACAAAACCACAAGTAAAACAGATTTCTCTGACAACTGCATCGAAGTGCAGTTATAAATGGAAGGCGTCAGTCCAGTTACACATTTAATCCTAAACAGTTGCCATTTGACCATTATACACTAAATATTCTGTCAGCTGGAGAGCTTAATGGCTAACGTAGAAGCATTTGAGTCTAGAAGTGCTTATCAGCACTACTAAACTTAAAGCGCTCTGTCTCAGCTACCATTCTAAACCATAACTGCGTGACTAGTGCTGGAGTTGACACTACGTTTCTATAGACTTAAGTGTACTTATGAAGTACACATGACTGTTCCCTTTAAAAAGTTTAGCTTGAAAGCTCTGCAATTTGGATCTCAAAGTAGAACCAGGGAGTTAAGATTGACAGCTACCATAACACCCACATCTTAGCTGTGGAAGTTTAATCGTGTGAAATTTGGGACAGATAAAAAGATGGCAAGTAGGAATGAAGCAACTTCCACAGAAGTTAAAAAGCATTACACAAGACAATTCTGCCAAATTTAAGCATGATCTTAATGTTATTTAAACATGTTATGATTTGCCAAATTTAAGCATGTTATTAAAATATATGACGCCTTTTAAATCAGCAGTTGCACAGAGGTGAAAAGGACAGCTCACCAGCAAAGAATCCGAAATCCTAGTGGAGTGTATTTGTGATTCTGTAGAAATGGAGATTTACCTGTACTAGTAGGGGAGCAGTACTCCCCCAAGTCAGGCGAGAAGCAGTCGTCCTCCTCTTCCTCCCTGGTCTCCCTGCAAAAGGCGAAGTTGCTATTCCCCCAAGTTCTGCTTTAGCAACTTGAATGGACTCAAAAGACTGCAGGAAAAAAGCTCTGTCCACCCCTCTGCCCTCTCACTTTTGGAAAAGCAGCATCAAAAATAGAGATTTGGCTTGAAAAAAAATTTGGAGGTTTTTTTTTTTGGAAGAACAGTAAAGTAGGCGAGAAATAAGAAACACACACCCTGCTTATTACATTTGTAAAGGGCGAAGGGCTGGTACAAAGCAGCATGCATCACCCGTGTGTGAAAATGGTTTTGTGCTTTCGTTACCTGTCGGGACTAGAATTCGGTGCTTAGTTTTCTTTGCAAAATTTAATTTGATGATCTAAATTAAAAGGAGGTATTGCTTCAGATGCTCATTAAGTTTTCGAGCTAGGGAAGAACTTCTGAACTCTTTTAGATTTTAAAATAAGAAAAGCTGAGCCACTTTCATTTGCCTTTCCAGATTCCTTCTGCATTCTTTCTGATCACCCAAGAAGAATGAAAACCTTTTATAATAGAAAGGAAGGAATTCCTAGAAGGCAGGCATGTCTCCCTTTGTAACACAATTATCAGGCCACTCGGAAGGAACATGCTCACCTGCAAAGCTGAAAGAGAAACATTCCCTGGGGTTATGGGAGAGCAGAGGGATGCCAGTCCAACTACTCAATACCTTCCCCTCTTCCCATCTCCTCACTCTGACCCTGGAGCATTCACCCTTTGTGCAACCCAAAAC